GAGGGGCTAACAAGTCCTGATGAGCAGAGTTTATTAGTGTTGGCAGTCTACACTTTTTAGGTTTTTTGTTTTTCTTTACAAATTAATCTTTCTGTAGTAAAATAATATCACAATGTAAGAAACAACAGGTGTTTGTTGAGACAGGGTTTCTCTGTGTAGTTCTGGCTGTCCTAGAACCCATTCTATATACTATTGTAAACCAAGCCGATCTCAAACTCAAATCTGCCTCTAACTCCTGAGTGCTGGGATTAAAGCCAGTACTGATAAGTGTGCCACCAAGCCTAGATAATCTTCCTTTTTTCCCCCCCTTGGTTTTTCGAGACAGGGTTTCTCTGTGGCTTTGGAGGCTGTCCTATAACTAGCTCTTGTAAACCAGGCTGGTCTCTAACTCAAGAGCTCTGTCTGCCTCTGCCTCCCAAGTGCTGGGGTTAAAGCCATGTGTTGCCACCGCCTGGCTAAGCCTTAATAATTTTATGGTGGTGCATGCTGTTGATATACTGAGCCCTAAAGATATGAGGTATTTCCTTGGTATTTTAAAATGATTGAGCAATTTTCTTCTTTTTAAATTATGATTTTGCTTTTCTGGATGTATTAACAGTTTAGGGGCTGGAGAGATGGCTTAATAGTTAGGAGTACTAGTGCTCTTCCAGGGGACTTGAGTTCTATTTCAGTATCCACGTAGTAGTTCTCACATGATGCGGAGACAGACATGCAGGGGGAAACACTCAACACAAAATCACAAAATAAAAATAAATGTAATAAATGGTTTAATTTTTAAAAATTGCAGCTTGGAGTAGTGCCAGCATGCGTGCAAAATAAAAAGTTGATATTGTGCACTGATAACAATGGTAGCTTAGAGATTAAGGTTTGATAGAAAAAAAACTAGATGTTTTCAAATATTTAAGAAGCATATTCGGCAAGACTTGATGGAAGAGCTTAAGGGGGCAGCTTGTGGATGAAGGCCTAGGAAGAAGCCTGGAGAAAGAATGCCAGTGCTTAATGGCTGGGGAGAGGAGAGTGAGCCTGTAGAATAGCTCTTAACAAACTATGGCAAGGGAAATTTTGTTAAAAGGAGACTTGTGGAATTGCTGGGAACACAAGACTAAGGGCGGGAAAACGTGCAAGCAGGGTGGGTGCCGAGCGGCTCTGCGCAAATGCAAAGTGCAGTGAGGAAATGGGCAAAAAATGAGAAGCGGTGAGTGCCTTCTCAGGTCCGCTTTGGCGGCAAAGATCGATCTCCTTTGCCATAAAGAAGAGGCAAATGTCCCAAAGCTGTGGTGAGTCCACCTGGTTAGGCAAGGGACCCTGCCTGTTGGTGAAGGTGGGGGAGGGGAGCGGCGTCTGCTGCCTGGGTGAAACCCAGGTCCCGTGAAAATCCTAATCCCGCTTCTGACACCAGATATTGCGGTTAAATAAGGATCAGGATAAACAAATAGCAGTCAAGTTGTTTCCATGTTTGCTGTTACAGTTCAGAGGTCAACAGTAAACTATATGATAAAGCTTGTTAAAATTACTATTCAGTGTGATTCTTAGTGGATTAAACCTCATAACTAGTAGATTATATTAGCTTTGCATTGCATAGTGAAAGGCATAAACTGCTGAGGGATTAGGGATGTAGTTTGCTATAGACTGTATCATACAACTGGGCTGGGTTCCTAGCATTACAGGAAAAAGCAGGCAGTGGTTGACCTTTAATGAATGGATTTTCAACTTAGAGGTTCCTTTCATTTTAAAGGACTCAAAATGTATACCACAGCACTTTGTTTTGAAATTGAGATCAGCTGTTAATACTTGTGATGAGGTCCAGTATGTACTCTAGTTGGTATAAGACTCAGAAAACTAAGACTCAGAAAACTAAGTGAAACTTTCATAACCAAACACACACGCTCACACGCACACTTCTGTTCATCTAATAATTAAACTAAATAAAATACTGATTAGTCATCCACATAAGCAAGAGGTCTATCTAAACAGTACTTATATTAGTAAAGACTTTCTAACATTATAGTTACATAATCAGCATCATTTTTTTATGTAGCTTGTAGTTGACTACTTCACTAGGTTTTTATAAATTATTCAGACTAAATAGGTGAAATTTCTGAAATTGCCTATTTTAGTTTTGAGGTTTAATTTATTTTGTAATTTCATATGTGTATCTGGTAAATAAGTCCTGGATTTATTTCTAAAGGGGAGAGCAAGGTCTCTGTTACACAAAGTGAAAAATCTAGTATGTTGTTTGAGGAATATAATAGTGATTAAATAGTGCCCTTTTGCTCAGCGCCGCCACCATTCTTACCAGGCTGTCTGTGACCGATCTGCAGTATTATTCAGAAGTTCATTGCACAGTGGGGAAATTGAGGGAAGCTAGATAGGCATCAGGTGTATTAATCATAACTCATATACGCAGCTGGCTAGTCAGCCTAGCTAAAGCAGGTCACGTCTAGATGAGGCAGCTTGCTGTTGGCCTTTAGTGGGTAACTCAATGGCTCTGTTTCTTCTTTGTTAAGGTGGGGATACGATAATGCCAATATTGGCATAATGATTAAAGACATTAATCCATTCATAAAATTTCTGAATAGTGCTTACCTGATACCCCTTTTATACATGCACCCAGTCAGTGTGAGTTGTTACTTGTGAGCCAGTAATTATTCACTAATACCTTCTCCAGTTGTTGAGAGGTGAGGATGTGGGCTATAGGTTAGTTTTTAAAAGCGTATCATGTGGTTTTAAAACATGCCTTGGTTTGGCTTCTGTTGGTCTTCTCAGTAGAGGTAACCGTTGGAAGAGTCGAATACACTATAGCTAGAGGAAACATTGTTCCTCAAGTTCCCCTTGTCTTTTTAATACAGCCAAACTCCCATGTTGGACTTCTTCCTGAAGCCATACTGTCTGTTTTCCTTCACAGAGAAAAACCAATGATACGATACGATATGACATATAGTATTGAGTTTCTGCTGTTAAGTCTGAGTGCTGAGGGTACACCAGTGGATAAAGTCCCTGTGCTCATGGAGTTTGCAGTCACTGCCCTTAAGCTGGCTGCTGCCCTCATTTTATATGCTGTAACTGTGTATGTATATAATTTCTGCATTACTCAAGATACTGCCTTTTGTTGGGGAAAATGTGTGATAGAATTGAATATCTGTTGTTAAATACTATCTATTGTACCTTTTAATAAGCAAGTTTTTGTCTTCTAATAAGCAGTGTTTGTCATTTATACCTCCTAGTAATGGCCACTGTACACATTTTCTTCAGCAGATGGGACAGTTTCTTTAAGATGACTGGCTTATTTCAAGTTGTCTAACTGGCTACAGTTAGAGTCATGGTGTACTTGAGCTTGTTAATACAAGTGAACATCTGAGACAGAAACTTGGAGGAATAGTATATACCTTACCTTTGTTGCCTTACACCAACTTTTTAAGACACAGGTCAGTCACAAGCACAAAGGTGGCCCCTTTGCCTGGGCATTGCCTGCCACTGATAACGCTGCTCTGGAATGGTCATTAGGACCAGTGTTTACATGCATTGCATCTTCAGCTTTGGTCTTCGTAGGATAACTGAGAGTTTTCTCTTTTCCTCACTCTTCCCAACTTCTGACATTGTTAGGCGGGTGAGAAGTGACATTTTTTAATTGCCTCCCCCGTTAGAAAGAAGGAGAGCCAGTTTAAACCTAGCAGGTCTAACTACATAAAGTAAGTTCTTAGTGCTTGATATTGAAGAAGTCTTAGAGGACTCTGTGGTTCCTGATCTTTCTTGTTGGTTTATCTGAAATAAACTTCAACTTGAATTTCACTCCCCTCCTCACCCCTGCCACCTTCAAGTGGTTATGTCTAGTGTAATCACATTCTGAGCTGACTTTTCTCTTTGGCTCAGATCTGTTGGTGTCTCCCCTGCCCCCCCCCCCTTCTTTGGAGAATGAGACAGAGTCTCTGTTATGTAGTCAGGGTTGTCCTGGAACTCTTCTCACAGAGATCCAGCTGCCTGCCTCGGTTAGGGTTATAGACATGAGCTGCCATATCTTGCTTTGCCTCATCTTTTACACATTATGTATTTCATGATTTTTTTTCCCTTTGATTTGCAACTTTGGTATTCCTTATAATCACGTAGGAATTTTTAATCTTTTGAGTTTTTCAGGTCTGTGTGTACACATGTGCCACTGGGCTTGGTGAAAGTCTGTGTGAAGGAGGGGTTTTGTTGACTTTTCTCTCCTTGTGCATCAGTTGATCAGCAAAAGAAAAAGAGAGGTGTGTGGGAATTGCTGCAAAACAATATTCTGCATTTCCTCCTAAGGAGTTTTCTATACCCTTTCTCTCTGAAATATCATTCCTGGTATCTTTAGTCCCCTAGTACCAGAACTTCACCTTCCCCCTCCTTTCTCTAGTCAGTAGTCTCTTCTACTTTAAGATTTTCTTTAGCTTGTGAGCTAGCCTAAGTCTTGACCCACTGTGTCTGCCTTTGTGAGACAGGTGATTCCAGCTAAGGATAGCATGACCTGCACAAGGCACTGAAAATGTGGAATAGTATGAGTAATCTTTGTTTTTACAGAGGTTTCTAGTTGTAGAAACAAAGCTAAATAGCTTGGAACCAAACTCAACATTCCTGAATACTCAGCTAAGGTTCCTGAAGTAGTAGATACTTGTATGTCCTGTGAATGAATTTTTTTAAATTGACAAGATATGAGGAGTGCACCCTGAAATCTTGCCTAGTTCGTGTAAGTTAATTAGTGGTCACTGTTGGGCTTCCTTGGTATCACAGAGAGGCAAACAAGCTCTTCTTTTCCTGATGACTTAGTTCCCCTTGCTGCTTGTCTAGTTGAACTGTACGTGGTCAGCCTTTCCCTTTCCTGTTAATGTCTGCATTCCAAGTCAGCAGAACAGTGCTTATGGCTATAGCATATGAGTTTCTACAATTTTCTTGCATCTCATAGGTGTTTCAAAAAGACTGTTGAATGTGTGCTTTGTTCAAAGACAGGTACTGACTTTCTTATTTCTCTTCCTTTGCAGACCTAGAGGATCAAGTCATAATGGGAGCATTTTTAGACAAGCCAAAGATGGAAAAGCATAATGCCCAGGGGCAGGGGAATGGGTTGCGATATGGCCTAAGCAGCATGCAAGGTTGGCGAGTTGAAATGGAGGATGCACATACAGCTGTGATCGGTTTGCCAAGTGGACTTGAGACATGGTCATTCTTTGCTGTATATGATGGGCATGCTGGTTCTCAGGTTGCCAAATACTGCTGTGAGCATTTGTTAGATCACATCACCAATAACCAGGATTTTAAAGGCTCTGCAGGAGCACCTTCTGTGGAAAATGTAAAGAATGGGATCAGAACAGGTTTTCTTGAGATCGATGAACACATGAGAGTTATGTCAGAGAAGAAACACGGTGCAGATAGAAGTGGGTCAACAGCTGTGGGGGTCTTAATTTCTCCCCAACATACTTACTTCATTAACTGTGGAGACTCCAGAGGTTTGCTTTGTCGAAACAGGAAAGTTCACTTCTTCACACAAGACCACAAACCAAGTAACCCGCTGGAAAAAGAGCGGATCCAGAATGCAGGGGGCTCTGTGATGATTCAGCGTGTCAATGGCTCTCTGGCTGTGTCAAGGGCCCTTGGGGATTTCGATTACAAATGTGTCCATGGAAAAGGTCCCACAGAGCAGCTTGTCTCGCCAGAGCCGGAAGTCCACGATATTGAAAGGTCTGAAGAGGATGATCAGTTCATTATTCTTGCATGTGATGGTATCTGGGATGTCATGGGAAACGAAGAGCTCTGTGACTTTGTGAGATCCAGACTCGAAGTCACTGACGACCTTGAGAAAGTTTGCAATGAAGTAGTCGACACCTGTTTGTATAAGGTAGCTAGACATTTTCTTTTTCGATTCTTTATGCCATGAATTACTGTTCTTTGTGGAGTCTGCAGATATCAAAAATAGGTTTTTGACACAATTACAGGATACAGTTACTAACTGTGAAAATAGAGGGACACTTTAGAAGTTAGTATGAGCTGTATCTCAATGCTTGGTCTTTAACCATGAGTGTGTAAGCTTAGTACAATAGAAGAGTATCAGAGATAAAAAGGTTCTATGGAGTACATGAGAAAGAAGGTGGAAAGGTTTCAAGCCTTGTATTTATCTGTAAGCTCTGGAAATGCTTGGAACACTAGTTCTGTGAGTCTGTAGCATCAGTACAACAGGGTTCAGTGAGTGTTGGGTATGGTGCAATACAAAAGCTTTGGATGTGGAGTCAGAAGGCTTGGTGTGAGACCCTGTGGCTAGAGGTAAGCTTTAATTTCATTGTTACATAAAAGAACAGAGAGGACCCTGTCTAGTAGGGCTGTGGGGAGGATCAAATGGGATTGTGTACATAGATAAATAAGCTAGCTGAGCTCTTTATTTTACAGATAAGGAAGCTGAAGCCAGAGACGGTTCTGTGGACTTAAGATTCAAACAGACCTGGGATCAACCTCTGACTATTATAAAATATAGATGATACCTAACTTATGAGACTATTAAGGGTTTACATTAGTGAGCATGTGGGGGGGTGAGAGAGTGTATGTGTGCACACACACGTGTGCTTGCTCTAATCTGATAGATAATATATGTTTGATACATGCTGCTAGCTTTCCTGGAGAACTCAGAACCCACTTCTACAATACACAACTGTAGTCACAGCATGCAGGCTAGGAAATCTGGGTCCTTGGCTTAGTTAGCATGGGTGTTGTCTGTGCCATACTGTTCCATTTTGTCAGTAATGCTTGTTGACTTACTATTTGAAAACAAACATTTATGTATCCACGTATTCAGCTCAATGTAAAATCTTAATTCTATTAGACGTGAAGTCTGTGTGACGTTCAGCATGTATATGTTACAGAGCAACAGAGTCCGGTAGTTGCTGTGAGTTTCTGAATATGGGAGAATGGAACAACATTGCCTGTGCTCAATTGTTCCATTTAGTGCACATGTAGTCAGCCTCATTGCTAGGGCCACTATCTATATACATGCATTCATTCATACATACATACATACATACATACATACATACTTACTTACTACTGGAGAACTAGGCACTATTGGCTAAATAAAACCTTGGTGAATCGTAAGATTCGGATTTTAATAAATTATTCAAATTATACTTTATTTTCCTGTGTTCTGTTTTGAAATGATTCAGTAACTTAGCATTTGCCACATTTTATAATTTTTCTCATAAGAGTCTTTGATATTAAGCTGTTTGATGAATTATTTACTGTTTAAGATCATTTTTCCCATATAGCTGAATTAAATACTAAAAGTAAAAAAGTGTAGGAAGGCTGTCAATTCAAGTGTTCTACTTACAGCAATTTGAATAATTTGAATTTGCTTCCTAAGTTAAATCAATGTTTATTATATCGGTTACATAATACATAATATAAAAGTATAAACTTCATCTAGTTTTCCTTCTGAGTGCATATTTCTACTTCAGAAACAAATGAATTAACCCCACAATGTGTTGTAACTGAAGTATAAATTTGAAATGGACAGTAAAGATTAGCACTGACACACTGTGTCATATTATGGCATGTGTAGCTGTGTGATATTAATGTCTGGTGACTTCTAGGAAAGTGGCCACAAGAAAATATTTAGGAAAAGTTTTGTTTTATAGGCTCTTTACCAGTAGTTCTCACAGAGAATCACATAATCTGTAATGATTTTTTTTCTTCTGGAATGCTGCTTATAATAATTATTATGTGTCGGCAACTGCCCCCCCCCATATACCTGTCTACTTTTTTTTCTTAAAAATAACATTTTTATAAGAAATAATGTAGGTATAATTGGTATAGTTATAAAGACTCTCAAGGTTTTTAAAAAAATAGAAGGAAAACCACAAAAAAAAATTTTTGACCTTTTTGTCCACAGGGAAGTCGAGACAACATGAGTGTGATTTTGATCTGTTTTCCCAATGCACCGAAAGTCTCAGCGGAAGCTGTGAAGAAGGAGGCAGAGCTGGACAAGTACCTGGAATGCAGAGTAGAAGGTGGATCATTTAACAAAAATAAGTAGCTTTATTTAAAAACCAAAACCTTCCACACAGAGTCTAATATTTTAGAGTTTAGTTCTTTACATACTTTTAATATCGAGTATTTACCGTGTAGAAATTGAAAGGACATTTTGTGGTAAGCATTTAGATGTGTGCCCCAGGCACCATGTCAGGTTAGAAATAACCAGTATGGCCTTATGCCTGTGGTTAGGAAACTTGTGTTTTGAATGATTACAGTGTGGCCCTACAATCCTTGCTGAACTCAAGGGCATGAGTAACTTTATGTCAGGAAACCCCAGTTTGTCCTGCATTTTGAGTATGTTATCTTCTGTGAAAAGTTATGTGCATTAACTTAAAATCTCTGGAACATTTTGTTTATTTACCTGTGTTTGGTTGTTTTGGGGTGGGTGGTTTTGTGTGGTTTTTTGTTTTGTTTCCTTTCTTGTTTTTGATAACTTGAAGGTCAAATGGTTAATAACAACTGTCACATTCCACAGCTTTTTTGTTTTTCTCTTTTTGAGACAGAGTTTCTCTGTGTAGCCCAGGCTGTCCTGGAACTTGCTCTGTAGACCAGGCTGGCCTCAAGAGATCCTCCTGCCTCTGCCTCCTGAGTGCTGGGATTAAAGGTGTGGGCCACAGCTGCCCAGCTCATCTCACAGCTTTTACAATTTAGTTTTCAGCTCCCTCCTAAGCCATAAGCGCTTTCACTTTACAACACAGACTTGGCGGGAATTTACTCTCAAATGGGAGGAAGAAAGTTGTCTGGAACTGTAGGAGTGTGGGGCTGAGATTTCTGCAGGTTATTGTAGAACAAATGGAGGGTGTTTGCACCTCAAAAAAAATGTGATGCTTTTGAATATTGGAAGAAATTAATCTTGTTGGTGGAATGGGTAGGTTGGTTGTGGAACTGGGGAACAAATCTAAGGTCTGTTGCACAATAGGTAAGTGTTTGGCTTGAGCCACACTGCAGCCCTTACACGGGCTCTGAAGCTAAGTGTAAAGCATAAGTATTGTCTTTGAAGATACTACCGTTCACTGTCACTGTGTGCAGACCCTGTAAACAGAAACAATTCAGTGTAAAAGTGCATTTTGGTCTCCTGAATCATAATTGACATGCATCATAATTGAGCTAACACACTATTGCATCCCATTGTGTCTTCATTATTAAAATTAGTGTGCATCTTAATTTTATTTTCTCCCTTTTTATTGCTTGGTATCATTTGTAATCTGACTATTAGACTCATGCTTGGTTTTTGGTTGTTGGTGTATCTAGAGACTTGAGGTTTTGTTATTACCCTCCCTCCCCTGATGGTAATGTCTGTTTGTATTGTTTAGTATTTCATTCATTGAGTGTACTAGTTAATGCATTTTCCTCCCCATTTTCAAGGGTCTTGTAATTTATCACATTTTAAGTTATTTCAATATGTTATTTGTAGATAAAACAGTAACGTTAAAAGTACTTAGAATGTTACAGAGTGATTGTTCTAAATTACTGATTAGTAGAAAAATATGAAACAAACAAACAAACTATATATGGGGTAAGTTAATGTTGATGTTTTGGCACTTTAACCTGGGCATACATTTTACTGATATAAAGAAATAGTAAGTACCTTAGTATTTTAACTGTGGAATGGGGTCCAATTTTGAAATGAATTGTTATTTTTCACTTCAGTGTCCCTTAAGTTTTTGGTGGAATTATCAAATATTCACTACATATAATTTTATAGTTTTATATTTCATATGATCAAGTGACAGTTGCCACCTGTACAGAGTTTACACTAGTAGTCATATTTTTGCTATGTTCAATGTTATACCATGCAATTAGAGGTAATATGTCATAAATTAAGTGTGGTATTTTTAGATCTGATGAGATGCAACTAGAGAGAAAATCATGTTAGCTAAAGCTGCTGCTATTTAAAGGCATAGAAGGGATGTATGTTTGCATTGTAAATATGTATGTCTTAAGTGAAGAAGTACACAGTTTCTAAAACAGGCACCAAATACCTTTTTCTTTCTTTAAATATGTGCTTTGACTAAATTGCTGTGACCTACTAAGCCTCATTTTATTTGCTTTCAACATTTTTAGCTTCTGTGTCTACAACAGTGAAAGGACAAAGCTCTTCAACCCTTCCCTTCTCCCTGTGTGCTCACCTTTCCTGAGGGGAGAGGAGGCCATGAAAAGATGGCTGCTAGTTGCTCTTATTATGGTCCTTAGGCAATTTAAGATGATACTCACCTGTGAGTGACCTTCCCATGGCTGCTCCTGGAAGGAACTGAGAATTCCTTAAGGAAGACGGGAAGGATCAGAGTGTGTTTGTGTCTGTGTTTATGAAACAGGATTCTTGACATTTCTATTCATTGTTTTGTTTTTTGAGACAGGGTTTCTCTGTGTGTAGCCTTGGCTGTCCTGGAACTCACTCTGTAGACCAGGCTGGGCTCGAAATCACAGAGATCCACCTTCCTCTGCCTCATGAGTGCTGGGAGCTGGGATTAAAGACTTATGCCACCAACACCCGGCTAAAAGAACTAAAAAAAAAAAAAAAAAAAAAATTAAATTCAGGGCTTTTCTAGAAGCTGAAGGAAGCAGGGACAGATAGTATAATTGTTCGGTTTAAATGATTGTCCCACATCTACTAAGAGATCTAATTGTGTCTAAAGCTTTTATTATTCTGAAAAGAATTTACTTTCCTGTATTCTTCACAATTAAGATATCATAACTTATATCTTAATGAAGATGTAAAGTACATCAAATACAGTGGGCGTTTTTTTTTTATTAGGACCGAAACCATCATTGGTTGAATTTATCATCAGTGTTCATTTCTCCTGTATCCAGAACTCTAACCAGATGATTGTATTGCCTTAGTAGACACTGTGTTGTGTTACGCTTTTAGATTGTGAACTTATGTAGCATAGGTAAGCATCAAATCCCTTTATTTTTGTATAGTAGATTTTCAGCACTAGAACCATGTAGAAAATCAATATGCCAAAATGTTAAAGATTATACAATAAAGGAACTTGGCAAATCAAATCTGAGATCCTTGCTTTTTGTTCAGATTTAAGACTACTTTATTTTGTTAATTTTTTTTTTTAAAGAAGAAGGCATAATGTAATAGATGGAAAGTTTGGCCTTAATTTTAGAAGGATACTTTTGAAGCATTTAAAGAGATTTTATGGGAAGCGATGTCTGTCTTAATGTGTACCTTTAATGATGGAGTAACATTTTGAGGCTCAATGGAAAATTACGTTTTTATGTGATCATTTTCTGAAGGGTTTACAGATGGAGAACTAGAATGATAATTTCTTGCTCTGGTGGCAAATAAAACCATTTCTTTTAAATATTAAGAAACAAAATGTTGCAAGTGCCTTGGGCTGGAATTTGCACTGCGTAAATATGCCGTGTCTCCAAATGACATCTTGTACTTAGTTTAGAGTTGGGATAAGGGTCTTTGTTCACAGCCTGGATGGTTTCTGATAAGAACAACTGCTGCTGACCCCCTCTCTGCCCTTAGGGGAACCTGACGTAAAACTAATCATTTTAAATGCAGCTGTACAGTTACTAAGTCTTTTTGCTCTTAATTTTTTTGTCATGAAATTTAGACCTTTTCATTTAAAGCTTGCTTAAATAACAAATGAAAGGGGGCTGTGTGTATCTATATATCATTTAAAGATAGCTTAGAGGGGAAATTGATAATGCAGTGATGCTCAAGTATATAATTAATTAATTTATGCTACTTAAGCCCCGTTGCCACTATACAAATATAGGTTAAAATGATAAGAACTATTATATCTTCAACAAATTGCCTTATAATTAAAGGTTCTTTTTTAAGTCTTGAGTTTTTTATTTATTTATTTTTATATGTGTGATGTATTTTACAGGGTAAAGTCCAGAAAACCTGTATCCAGTGTAAGGACAGGAGTTGATCTCAACAGTAACTAGTCAACATCTTAAAGGAATCATTTCAGTACACCTTGATTGTGTAACACATAAAGTTAACATGAATTTCTTTCTTTTCACATTTTTATCTTGTTTTCGTTCATTGAAGTTGATATTTTGTGTCTTTTTCTGCATCTCTTGAGCTTAAAAATTTTGAAGATCAGTGATTTTTAGAAAATCTCAGGTGTAATAAAAGTAAATATTGTCTGTAATAACTTAAGATACCTTTGTTTCAGTGTTTTGAAAGTTAAGTTTTGATAACACTTACAAAAAAAGTACTTCTGATTCCCAGAAATCATAAAGAAGCAGGGGGAAGGCGTTCCTGACTTAGTCCACGTGATGCGCACGTTAGCGAGTGAGAACATCCCCAGCCTCCCACCAGGGGGTGAATTGGCAAGCAAGTGAGTATGTTCTGCAGTCTCTTGGCCTTCATCTATATATGTAACTCTGCATTTACTCCTAATGTCCATGTCATGTTTTCACTGTTAGAAAATGTGGGATCAGTATTTGTCACTATTTATAATTGTACTAGGGGTTGTCCCTAGTTGAAGCTTGGTAACATTGATTTCCTCCAAGAATAAATGAGATAATACAGTGAAAGATTATTTAAAATAAAATAATGTGACACTACAATATCTGAGTAGCTATAGTAATGTAATATTGGTGGGTTTTGTTTCTGTTGATCCTTGTATAACTTAACTCTCTAAAGATTGTCTTCAGTCTGGGCAATTTTCTGCATGTCTGTATTTTCCAGGATTTGGTTGTTTATTGTTGGTTGGTGTTTGGTGACAGAAAGGATAGACATTTTCTTTGCCTTTCCTCCCTTTTCTATTGCTTAACAGAACCATACTAATTTGTGTTAGATATTAAGATTATATCTGTAGTTAACATATACATTGTACAGTTCAAGTGGTTTGTTGTTGTTTGGGGTTTTGTTTGCTTGCTTGTTTGTTTTTTTGAGACAGGATTTCCCTGGGTAACCCTGGCTGTCCTGGAACTCACTCTGGCTTAGACCATGCTGGCCTCAAGCTCACAGAGATCCTTGCCTTCCTAGTTCTAGAGCTAAAGATGTGCACCACCACTGCCAGGCTTCCAGTATTTTTATTATTAAATTCAGTGCTTTGACATACAAAGGAATATTGTGATCATTTTTTTTTAATCTTCCATAGTTTGCACTTGTCAGTATTTTTACTCTTTGTGATCATTTCACCAGGAATTCTAAAAGCTCATGTTGGAACTTGTATTTTTTAAAACTTTTCATATGACTGCGAAAGAAATTGCTGAAGAATACTGAAGAATAAACTCTTTGCTGTTAAGGATTAAACAGATCTCTCTCTCTCTCCCCCCCCCCCCCCATTTTTTTTTTTTTTAATTTATTTTTTTGAGACATGATCTCCTTGCATAGCTCGGGCTCTTCTGACTCAATAACATTGCTTGCCTCAACTGTTCAGTGCTGGGGATAGGCCTGTACCACCACACATGGCCAGACTTTAAAATAAAATAGTTATTCAAAAACTAATTCCTGTATTTATATGTCATGGAAATATTCAGTGTTTTAGTTTTTTGTAGAAGTTTTTTGAAGGGATACCAAGAAAAGCAAAGACCATATGTATGCTGGATTATTCTACTGTACCATGTTAAAGTTGCTTCTATTTGGAAACTATGGTACCATTCTTAATTACTGTATCTTTAGATCGGTATTACTGCTGATCACTTGTTGCCTTTTAAGCCAGCTTAAATAGAAGTAGGACCATAAACTGTGTGTGTGTGTGTGTGTGTGTGTGTGTGTGTGTGTGTGTGTGTACATGTGTATGTGTGTCAGTGCATATGCTTGGAGGCCAGAGATTACATAAGGCAGATAATGTCTCCCTCTGTTGCTCTCCACCTTATCTTTGAGTTTGGGTCTCCCTATGCCCAGAGCTCACTAGCTAGCTGCCCAGTAAGCTCCAGGGACGCACTTGTTTCTGCTTCTCCAGTGCTGAATTTACAGACGTAGGCCACCGTGTGGGTGTTGGGTCCCAATCAAAATCTGTGCTTGTGCAGGAGACACTTCACCAGCTGAGCTGCTAAATCCCTAGGTTGGGTTTCTTGAAAGGTGGTTTTTGGTGTTTTAATTTTGTAAAAGTCTCTGGCCCCAAGCCTGGTGGCCTGCCTTTGATCCCCAGAACCCATAAGCAGAAGTAGAGAACCTCTGACCTCCATACATATGTGCACACAGTAAATAAGTTTAAAAATCAACCACTGGCTGGCTTGTTAAATAAATCAGCTGTGACTTTTGCTCTAATGTTATCTAGGTCAGTGGAATGTTACATTGATTTCATTTTAGAAAAACTGTACCTCTGCTGTAGCATTAGGACACAGATAACTTAAAGCTTAAAGACAGGCTTGGTGCTGGCAGGAATGTATCTGAAGTGTCAGATGGTTTTTGAAGTTTTAATGAATCCCAGGCTGGGGTTCTTGGCCTGGGCTTACTTTATAAAGGGTTAACTTTCTTCGTTTTTTAACATTTAGGCGGAATGTAATTGAAGCCGTTTACAATAGACTGAATCCTTACAAAAACGATGACACTGTGAGTAGTGTTTTCCTCCCTCTGCTTTCCCTTTTCCTCTTGTCAATGCACATCCTGCCCTGTGGGTCTGTTCTCTTACACACAGCCTGAGCAAGTGCTTTCAATTCTCCTTGCTCTGGTCTCGGCAAACAGCAGAGTCCCAGTGACTGGGGAGTAATTGTGGTGAGTGGTGGCCTCTCTCTCGCAAAAGAAAGTCTCTTTTTAACCCTCTACAGTCACCTTGAGAAGACCTGCCTTCACCATTTTTAATTAGGTTAGGGATCTCTTTCTTCAGAATTCAGAATGCTCATTGTGAAGTGGTTTTTTGCTTGCAGATGTCTTTGCCACAGACCTGAGGCCAAGCCTACACTAACACTCTAGAAAGGTCCCTTTCTGCAATGACACAGACTCTTGCAGATGTCATCACTGTGTGCAGCTCTCATGTACCTGTGTGCTGTATTGTGCTCTCTTAATCCTCTTTACTCCCACAATGCAATAAGCTAAATGCAGTTAAAATAAGTTAGGTAAAGCTTTTTAGTAATTTTGTTGGATTAATGATAAATTTATTCATCCTCATAGTAAAATCATTCAAATATTTTTCCAAACCAAGGATTTGTTTGTTTGTGGAAAGTTTTGGTGGGTGGGGCTAGACCAAAGGACTTTTTTTTTTTAAACAAAACAGATTAAATATTAATGTTTCATGTAGAAACATACATATTTTAAAACCAACTAAGTTCTAGAAGTCAGTATATTATAAAACCTTGTGTTCCTGCATTATCCAGAAAGTGGTACATTTCAGCATCTTGAATATTTAGTTTAATGCCTTGTTTTGTCTGTTTTCCTCGTAAAGGATTCTACATCAACTGATGACATGTGGTAAAGCCGATCATCTAGCCATGGATTCACCTTCGCCTCCAAAGGAGAATACAGCTCAAGCTTGCCGAACCTGTCTACGTCCATCATTGACTTCAAGGAAGGGGTACGGCATGGGTGAGGGACTACACCAGAGAGCTTCAGCGGTGGACAGCTAGCCCAGAACGGATTTCTTTTTTAACTGTAAAATTGAGACTTATGTAAACGTGATTTCAAACCGTAATTCATGTTGTAAATCAGACTCCAGCAATTTTTGTTGTATGATTTTGGTTTTTTGTAAAGTGTAATTGTCCTTGTACAAAGTGCTCATATTTAATTATGAACTGCTTTAAAATCACTATCAATGATAAAGGAAATGTTTGGCTTGTTGTGTGACACAACAGATATAGTCATGCTGTGTTTGGACTTGGGGTTGGGATAGGGAAAGCAGCAGCCACATAGCTAGATGCTCGTGTACACATGATTATGAAGAATCCCAAAATCTACAAAGCTGAACATCCAGGGAGTTATGGAAAACTGTCTTTGTGTTCTGGCGAGGGATTGGCTTGTCAGTGCAGCCACTCCTTCTTACCTGTCTCTAGGGTGCCCTCTCCTTGCAGCCGAGAGTATTGCAGGTGATACCGTATATTCACGAGGGACTGGCTTGTCAGTGCAGCCACTCCTTCTTACCTGTCTCTAGGGTGCCCTCTCCTTGCAGCCGAGAGTATTGCAGGTGATACCGTATATTCACGAGAGTATCAATTTTGGGCTAAAATGCCTTGATTCTTTGCACCTCTTTATGAGCCCTTACATTCAGTTACTAACTGGTAAGCAGCAGCTTCCTACACAGTAGGAGACTGCCATATTTTTTTTCCTCCTATCATGATTGGCTGGGCCTGCTGCTGTTCCTAGTAAGATATTCTGAATTCCATTTTATCAATAAAGCTTGGTTTAACAAACAAGAAATTTAATCATGTACGCGTAGTTCCTCTTACCCCGGCTTTCAAAACCCCGTACTTTTATTGTAAATGGGCCATTCCTCCTAGGGAAAGGTGTTAGTCTCCTTAAATTGGATGATGGTGTTACCCCAGGTGCAGATGGATCAAAAGATCAGAGTCTGTGTTGTCCTCACCTGTTGTTCAAATGAGTTTCTTTCAGGCTGCTTACTTCTCAGTAAGATGTGCATCGGCTTGAATTTACCTACTGTTAATTAAAAGAATTGTCAAAGTTTGGCAATCCTAACACTATGATCGATGTGTGTGTGTTGAATGTGTGTTTGCCTGTAACTTTTAATTGACCCACGTCTTTAGAATCTAAGAGGTTAAGATGTATTTGTGATTTGAAATAATAGCATGTTGATAATATTTAGCTGTTGGCCTTTAAAAATAAATTTCAAAGCTTAAGGAATTGTAGATATAAAACAACTAATTTAATTTAGGCTTAAACCCCTGATGAAGCATGTAAGAGTAAGTTTCACAGTCTGTCACATTACAAAGACCACTGTTGTGTACCCGTCTGTATTTTTGTCTCTTTAGGTTGAGTGCTGTATTTATCAACATGCCATTGACTCGGTTAGCAGTCAGATTCCCCACTAGGAAACAGTTCAAATACGTTAAATACAACGTCACAGCTTTATGTACAACAGTTAGTATAATACATTCTGTTCTTTTTGTTTTTTCCCAAACGTTGAAATAGGCATGTTTGTATATACAGCCTTAAAACCACTGTAACGCTAAGGGCATAGTAGGAAAGTACTGCGAAGTGTCTCAGATTTCAGTAGCTACAATACCAGCGGACTCTTGATTATCCCTCTTGTGAGGTGACTAAATGTAACTTATTTGTATTTAATTTATATCTTAATCCAGCATGAATGAAGAAAAGCTGAAATACTAATTATATTTAGAAATTCATAACAGCCACAATTACAGAACCAATTCCAAACTTAACAATAAATGCTTAATGTCTAAATCTGTGGGAGAGTTGGAAGTATGGTAATGTTCTAAGCGGTGACTTGCATTTCGTGAAAATCAGTGCTGCTAGCACAGACTGGGCGCTAGGCTGATGACTGAAGCCGAGATCCTGACAGGTGACCTGGGTCTTCATTTTTAGAAGTAACCTGGAAGACTTTAGTTTTGAAAATTTCAAAACCCCGGTATGGTCTCATTTGAAATTAAAGCTTACATGGTGGAGAGCTCTGTGTCAAACGGCAGCAGCTTAGTTAAGTAACACTTGTTTGAGATAGTCTCAACAGAGAAGGAAATGGGAATGCTCCTCTGTTGAGGTTGTTAGTTCTGAGGGCTGGGGTAAGAAGTTCTGGGGTCTCAGAAGGCTGGGTCTCTACACTGTTAATAGGTGTCATTTTGCATTGTAACCACAGGAAGGAAGGGTATGCCTTTTATGTAAGAGCAGGTTATGCCTACTTCCTGCGCAGATGGCCGTGGTGGAAGCCAGCAGCACTGTTTTGGAGGGGGATGTTCATGCCTGCATGATACCCTTCATTCTTCATCGCTGTCCACTTTCCTGCTAATTAACATCTCAGGACAAATGCCTCAAAAATGTGTATGTGTGGTTTCCATGTTTTGTTTTTTACGTGGAGGGGATAGTTCTTGTGATGGTAACGTAACACGCAAAGTATACGTTCATGTCAGTTGAAAATTTCAGTTCTGCATAGCAAACTTTTCATAACTTAAAAAGTTTCTAGTAAGCCAGCACATGCCTTTAATCCTAGCACTTGGGAGGCAAAAGTATGGTCTACAGAGTGAGTTCCAGGACAGATAGGGTACACAAAGAAATCCTGTCTCAATGCCCCCCCCCAGTGTTTTTCATCTTACTTTTTTAACACGCAATCATAAAAATACAATAAGCCATGCATGGTGGTGCACACCTCTAATTCCAGCACTCTGGAGGTTGTGGCAGATGGATCTCGGAGTTTGAGGCCAGTGTGGTCTGCATAGCTCCAGGACAGCTAGGGCTACACAGTGAGACCCTGTCTCATCCAATTTTCACTTTCTTGTGGAATATCCTGGGACTGATAGCAAAAGACATTTCAATGATCAGATTAAACTGTAAAAACCAAAGTGGTTACTTCTCAAAACATCTTAAGTTACTGTGCTTTTTTTGACTCTAGGTAACTAAACAGCTGTTCCAGCTGCTTAACTTTTTATCTCACATAGTGTTAGGAACTTGGGGTGGAAGCCAGGTGTGGGGGCACCACCTGTGGTTTAGCACGTGGGAGCCTGGGGCAGGAGAATTATTGCTCGGGGTAAGACTAAACTACTATAAATTGACACTCTGTCTGGGAAAAAAAAATTTTTTTAAAGAAATTAAAGAATTCTGAGTTATGTGATACAAATAGTTTAAATTACAATCCTGCCTACAATCCCATGCATTTGAACATGGCCACAAAGTGTTAAGTGTTACCAAAATGCTGTTCTAGGTTAAGCCCCTGGGGAATGTAAGCAGATGAAGTAGGTCCTTGTTCTCAGGGAGTTCATGTTTGGGCAGGATTTAGAAGCCAGTGTATATTATAAGTGGATCATTCATATAAAGAAAATACATTGCCCACCCCCTTTTTACCTAGTACTTTCTTCAACAAAGTAGGTCACCACCTGGAAGAATTAGTTGCTATTCCCTTACTCCCCAAAATTGATTTTCTTCTCTCCAAATGTTGAAATTATTCAGTAGAAGATTATGGTCAACATAAGAGTAAATTGGACTGCCAAGTACAGAACACTTGGATATGTGTAAGAAATGGCCTTGACTTTCCCTACTAGTGACAGGAGGTTAGAAGCAAGTAATGGATGTCCTGGAGTTCTCTAACCCCCATGATACAGGTGGGACCTAAGGTTAGGGGCTCCTGTAGAGTCTACCTTACATAAAACTGTGGTCTTCATGTTACAGCACCAGCGGTTATGTAAAATTGTTGTGCTCTCTAATGTGTGTTAGTTAGCATCTCAGAGTAGCCATACTTACACCTGTCCTTACTGTACAAATTAAACTGGGAATTTAATATGGATTCTCAAAAGACTGAAGAATTGGTTTTGTTGCAGCTTTTAATTTCATGTCATACTTCTAGTTCAAACTTTGCTAATTTTACAGTATAGAATTTGGTATCCAAAAAGATGTAAATATTTTAGCATGTACATGTTTCTCATTTGAGGTTTTTGTTTGGAGGGACCTCCAAGGATGTTATATATCCTCACATATTCTGGTGAGATAATGAGATGACTGTTTTAAATTTACTAGTCTTCTAGAATTTTGTTTGGAAGTATTTAATTTTAGAATCCTGATTTTACTTTATACCCTACAATAATGTGCTGTGTGTGTTTGTTTCCAGTTGTTTTAAATTATCTATTATTTCCATTTGTGCTTTAAATATTTAAGAACGTGTTTTTCTATTGTGTAATACTGTATCACATTGGTCAGTAACTCAGCGAACGTCATCGCTGATAGAATGCAATGTGACCAACATTGGCTTTGCTGTATTGTCAAATAAGCATTTTCCATTTAGGGGCAACTCAACACAAATACTTTCCTTTTTATCTAGTATTCAGCTGCTGGCTTCTGCTTTTCTTCCTATCCATTTAAACAGCATGGTGGAGTGTTAGAAAAACTCAAATGGAGCCGGGCATGGTGGTCCAAGTGTTAATCCCAGCATTTGGGAGGCTGGGATAATTGGGTCTCCATGAGTTCAAGGCCAACCTGGTCTACAGAACAAGTTCTAGGACAGCCAGGGCTACACAGAGAAACCCTGTCTCAGCTTTGCGCCCCCACCCCCAAAAGAGAAAACCTCAAGTGGTATTCAAGTTGCAGTTGCTTTTACAAAACGGGGAAAGTTGAAATAACAATAAATGACCATCTTCCTTATTCTTCATGAAATATCACCCCCCCCCCCGCTTCCTCGCCCTCCATGTTGGTGCCCCCCCCACACACACACACACACGCACATACTTCTGAAATAGAAAGGCCAATTCTATTCTCCTGAACAAGAAAAGCCATGTATTACCTCATCAAGGCCAATTAATACTTTATTATACTGGGTTGAAAGCAAGAAAACTCAGGATGTGGGATAGTGGGGGAGGGCACTATGATTGCTTTGGGCCTGGCTGTCATTGTTCCAGAGCTGAGTGTCATAGAAGTCAGCCAGAGACAACCAAGTTTGCTTTTCTGATCTACTGATCCAACACAAGCAACTGAGAAACAAACTCCTTTGCTCCAAATCCCAATTTCTACTGGCTGCCTTCTCATTAAACACAGTGTTTAGGATAATTGTTTGTTTTATATAGTCCTAACTAATGAAAGACTGTTGAGTAATATTTGTGTTTGTATGGTTTTGTCTGAAGTGAGCTAGTTTGTGTAGAGCTTGGGTAGTTATAGAACAAAATTAGATCTTGATTGCATACATTGAATAGCACAGGTTTGTTCTTGAAGGTTTCTTAAACTTTTGGGGGTCACAACCCTTTGGATCAGAGGGACTGACTGCACCTGGGAAAATACCAGATATATATACTCTCCAGGACATTCTCTTTGGCCTGGTCAAGACCCTCCGTTATAACATAGGGCACCATCCTTTTCCAATAGAGCTCCAAATTTTCCAAGAGCATAAAAATCTAGAAGGAATTGTTTGTTTTACTTTGCAAAGAGTAAGGAGACAGTGGACACCTGGCTGGAATCTGGTATGGGTTTTTTTGTTTTGTTTTTGTTGTTGATTTTGGGTTTTTTGGGGTTTTTTGTTTTGTTTTGGCTTGTTTGTTTTCTGAGGTCCTATGTTGTGGGAACCTATTATGTAAAGGCGGAATAGTGATTAGGCCAGTTTTGGAGGTTGATGTCTTTTAAGGCTTGCCACTCCTAAAATGCAACAACAAACAAAACAGGAAATGGAAATTGAATGTTTCTGGCATGCTCCTGACCCTCCAGAGTGTAGGGTGGTAACAATATGTTAACAACAAATTAGCTGTCAGGTCTCA